AGGCGCGGTCAAGCCCCGCGGCGGCTTCGCCGCGAACCGCCGACCTCCAGACGCAGTCCGTGACCTTCCTGCCCTCGCCCGTATTGAGGATGCCCCAGTCGTCGAGCGCGCGCTGCCAGGCACGCAACTTACCTCTCTGGCACCTGCCCCATACACGGTACAGGGCCTTGAACTGGCCGATCGGCCGCCTGCCACCGCCCAGGGGCTTGGGGTACTGCGCCGACAGGAGCTCCTGCTCGCGCTCGGGCATGATGCCCGCGGCAGTGACCAGGTTGAGCAGGTCCGCCGTTGCCGCGAGATCGTCGAACCAGCCCAGGTGGCGGGGGTGCGTCCCTGCAGGAGTGCAGGTTCCCTTCTTAAACTGGGACGCCGCCTTGGAGACGTCCTCGGCCGAAACCCTGAGGTGCTGATGCCCCAGGCCTTCGTCGGCCACCATCGCGTCCAGCGCCCCCTGCACGAAGGTAAGGCGCTCGGCAGCAGCCTCCTGACTGAGCCCGTTCCAGTGCCCGCGCCACTCCGCGCGGTACTTCTCGAGCAGCGCGACGGGGTCCGCGGCCCGATCGTGGGCCAAGCCACCCGGCTTGGTCAGCATCGGCGCGCCCTTGGCGAGATCCTCCACGAGTGCCTCGCGCCAGGAGGCCCCGCCGCGCCTGACGCCCATGAGGTACTCCTTGCACAGGCGGGCCGCCGTGGCCGCCAGCACCCGAACCGCGGCATGGTACAGCCGGCCACACTCCGCCAGAGGGGTCTCGCCAACTGCCCCGGCAGCCCCGCGAGCTGGGGCTCCGGCGCGGCCGCCTGGGTCGTCGGGGGGCCCCTCGTCGCCGTCGCCCAGCGCGTCGAAGGGGCCCCACTCCCCGTCCAGAGTACACGCCCCAGCGCGGGGGTGGGCGTAGTCGGCGACCCTCGCCTCTGCACCCCCATGCAGGGCCTGGCCCGGCAGCTCGAACGTCGGGCGAGGCACCTCGGCGGCCCCCGCCTCCTCGCCCTCGGCGCCGTCGCTGAGGTTGGCATGCGCGAGCTCGAGCCTCCTGGGGGTGCCCAGGGCGGCTCCGGCGGCCGCGGCGGCAGCCCCGGGGGCCTGGGCAGCGGCTCCAGCGGCCCTCCCGGCGGCCACGGCCGGCGCCCCGCCCACAGGTGACCTAACTTGCCTTAGGTCACTACTGAAATCTGCCGCCGGCAGGGGGGGCGCGGCGGCGTCCTGGGCGGCCCCCGACACCGGCAGGGAAGTCTGGGAATTTTCTGGAAAATCTTGGACTTGCCGGGGGGGGTCTCGGGCCAGGCCCGGCAGCTCGAACGTCGGGCGAGGCACCTCGGCGGTCCCCGTCCCAACCCAGGCGTGGCACCCCGCCTGAACCGCACCAGCGATGTGCTCGAGGAGCGCCTCCCATTCGGCCCAGCACGGCTGCCGAGCGAAATGGTACTCGAACTGCCCGCCGCGTGCCAAGCCAGCGCGCAAGCGCCCCGCGTTGGCCAGCACGTCGGCGCGGGCGCGCTTGTCGCCACGCAGCACCTCGCCCAGGCGCCCTGCCAGCTGCCTCAGCTGGCCGGCCAGCCAGCGCATGCCTGCGCTGGCTCGCCTCCGCGGGCTCTTGGGCGTGGCCAGCGCCTTGTCGAGGGGCATGTCCTCAAAGGTCAGCGCGCCCCCCCAGTGCTGCATGCCCGGGGCCTCAACGCCCACGATGGCCCCGAAGTCCTGCCGAGCTGTGCGGAGCCAGGCCGCATGCGCCTGGTTGACGAGCTCCTGCCGTTGCGACATGGGGAGGGCGTCGGACTCGGCACGCTGCAATGCCTGGCGCACCACCGCATTCGTGGGCCCCCAGTCGGGCGGCGCGCCGCGTGGGCCCACGGGCCTCTCCGCCGGCAGCGGAGGAGGTCGGGCTGCCGCTCGCACGGTGGGCCAATCCCCCACGCCCTTGAGCGGGAGCTGGACCAGGTCGTGGGTGGGCACCAGGTGCTCTGGTCGAGCGGTCGGGCGCGCACAGGCCAGCCCAAGCCACCCGCCAGCCACGAAGAAGTCGCGGACAGTGTGCGTGTCCTGCCCTCCATGGCAGGTGGCCTCGGCAGGCGCAATGATCTGCGCGCCCGCCGCATTGAAACCCGCGAACCCAGCAACCATCTCAGGATCCAGATTCCAGTCGCCCCCGGCCAGCCAGGGCAGCTGATGCACCCTGGTGTGGTGGACCAGCGTGCGGAGGGCCATCTCGTTCCCGTCGAGCCCGACCCCCGTCTCCAAGTACACGGTGTACAAGGCCAGCGCCCCGACGTGGGGCAAACGCACAAAGGCCACGCTGATGCGGCCCTCGACCAAGCAGGACTCCAGCGGGTCCCACCAGAAGTCCAGGTGCTTGCGAGCCAGGATGGCGACCCCGCCGCTGGGCTTGGTCTCCTTGATCGCGGCCTCGTCACCTGCAAAAAGCCACCCTCTGGACAGGGCACTCTTCTTGGCTTCCCGAAGTCGGTCACCGCGAAGTTTGTGTTCCTGCACGAACAATATGGAGTAGGGCGAACCCTGAATATCATCCAACACTTGAGTGCCCGTCCCCCACGACGTAACATTCACAGTGGCAAAATTGAAAGGTTTACCAGCCCGCCCCCCTGAACTCGACTGCGGACACCCGAGGTCTGGCGTGACTGGCAATACTGGATCGACTGTCCGGGAGCGAGCTGCGTCAGGCACATCTGCTCGCCCCTTGCGTCGATTACCCGCGCTTCGGGCGTTTGACCATGTTGAGCTCCCCCATGGCCGTGATAAGGGCCCGCTTGGCGTCGGGTCCCGTAGCAGCGGCCAGCAGGGCGTCAGTGGTCGCGGAGTCGAAGTTCTCTGGCATTTCCTCGTCGGCGGCGGGGTCGGCGACACCTCCGTTCCCTCCGACAGAGCCAGCAGCAACAACAGGAGCCACGGGCGGAGCAGCCTTGGCCAGCGCTTTGCCGAGCAGGTCCGAGAGGATCTTGGAAGCCCCAGCTCCCAAGGCCTTGCCGGCTGCGCTGCCCTCGAGCACCTCCGAGACGATCTGCTCCTGCCGGGCGGCGTCGAGGGCCGGCTCGCCGCTGCCTGCCTGGGCCACTTGCTTGACAGCCGAGGTGACCTCGGCGTTGGCAGCCGTGATGGCCTGCTCGACACTGGCGAGGTCGGTCGCCAGCTCGGCTTCCTCGGCGAGGCACTTGTCCAAGGCGGCCCTGGCCTCCTTGACTGCCTCTGCCTTCTCCACCTTCGACTTCTCGAGGCGCTCCTTCTTGCTCTGCAGGCGGGGGAGCTTCCCGTTGAGGGAGATGACCTGGCTCTGGGGCGACTTCGCCTCGAGCCGCTTCTTGCGCAGCGCCCCCAGCTGCGCCTCAACGGCTGTGACGAGCTCCCCTTCGATCTTGGCCTTCTTGTAGCCGACGAGCGTCGCCTCCAGGACCTCGATCTGCATGAGCAGAGGGTCGTCGTCTGGCGCGGCCTCCTCGGGCTTCGGCGCCGGGTGCGGCTGACCAGGGCCCTTCTTGAGCTCGGCCACCTCTTTGCGCAGGGCCATGATGGCTGCGGTGAGGTCGGCACCCCCCACTCCGCCACCCTGCCCTTTGTGAGACCCGCCACCGCCCTTCTCGAGCTTCTCGTGGGCCTCGCGCGCCTTCTTGGCCACTCCAGCGGGCGCCTTGGCCCCGCAGGCGCAGACCACCCGGCAAGCCCAGTTGGCCGTGCGGTCGCACTTCCCGCACGCCCACGTCGGGAGTTTCGGCCCACGCAGCACTGCCTTGCTCGCGGGAGGAGGCCCCATGACTGGCTGGAGAGCGGGCTGGGGGCTCGATCAGTAGGGATCGTGAGTGCGAAATAGCCTCCTGGAGGCAGGCCGCCTGGCGACCTCGAGAAATGCCCACGGACGGGTTCAAAGCTAATCGCAACACCTCGGTTCACCGAACCTTCGTTACGTTTAGCCTTGAGCCAAAAAGGCTACGGAGGAGGAGGAGGAGGAGGGAGGAGGAAGAGGAGGGGGAGGAGGAGGAGGAAGAGGAGGGGGAGGAGGAGGAGGAGGAAGACGAGGAGGAGGAGGAGGAGGAGGAGGAGCTACCGTCCTTTGGCCGATCGAGAACGACGGCGAAGCGACGGGTTCAATCCCTGCCGCTTCGGTGGTGTCGCCTCAGGGCTGCTTCCTGCAGAGGAGGCACTGCCCAGTGCTCTGGCTTTGGGCTCATGTGCTGCTGTGAGTGTCCCACGGGTACGTTTTGCAATGTGACGTTGGCCGAACCCATGGCTCACCTGCATGTTAGAAATCGAAATCAGACCTCCAGGTGTCAGTAGTATCAGCACCCTAGGGCGCCTCTCAAAGCCCTGGTGCGCAGTCGTGGGGCTGTCACTGGACCTTATTGCACGTTGAACATCAACAAGCTGTGAAGATGTGTTTCACAATTTGCTGGCCTCATCCTGAAGGGATATGGTGTGCTCGGGGATGACTCTCTGAGAGGACATGATGGGGAGGGATTCTCGTTGAACACATCGCAAATCCTTGATGCCATGAAGGGATAGAAGAAGATTCTCAGGATGCTCCTGGAGAGGCTGCGAGGCACCAGGACACGCTCTGGGATTCCCTTTTACGGTGTTCGTGGCGAGCATCACGAAAGTATCCAACGAGGCCCCATCCCTGGGCCACCGACCTGAGACTTCCCGTTTTAAAGTGCGGGCGTCAATAGAACAACCCGATCTTGGCTTACAATCAAGCTGCCCTGCAGCCCTCTCGAGAAATTCCAATCGCGTGGCGCCTGCCCTGGATCTCAGGTCAATGACGTAGGAATCGGCCAGCAGTGGACACGCGAAGGAGGCCAGCACACGTGGACCCCAGCGCGAAGAAAAGGCCGCTGCACGCAGGCGCGTCGAGACGGTCGGCGCAGACGCCGGGGCAGCAGAGGGAGGCGAGGAGACAGTGGAGGAGAAGAGAGGGGATTGCAAACACGGGCTTGCTGGGCGGAGAGGCCTGCTTCCTCCTCCTCCTCTCATTCTTCCTCCTCCTCCTCCTCCTCCTCCTGCTCCTCCGCGGCACTACGCACGCGCACAAACCAACCAACCTAACCACACGTACGCCATCCTGGCCCTTCAACGCAGCCGTGTTTCTTCGCATCCCTGCTACACCGAGACAGTGGAATGCACGGAGCGTGAGTGACAAAAAGTATGTGAGGCAGAGAGATGATGACCATTGCCGTAAACAGTTGGCTTCGACACGTCCAGGCACCACGCATTCGTACCAATCACTGTGCGAAACAACTATTGGATAGGTAATGTCATACAATATAAGCACCTAGTCGGAGTGCGCGCGTGGATACCCAAGACTGAATTTCAGCACACGAGAAATGAGACCACACGGCTCGTATCTGGATGGCATGAGGAAGAGGTCAGCGCCAGCCATAATCTGGTGCTCAATCTGCAGTGAGGGAGACGCAACAGAGATGCTGAGCGAAGCACAGCAGACGGAGGCGATGAAGGATAGTAAAATGCTAGAGAGCGCGAGGTGAGAATGAGGGACAACACGAAGAATGACAACCCAAGGGCACGCCGAATAGACGTAGCGCAATACGGGCACATTGTGACTACATCAAACCATTGCGGGCACTAGTCGGGGTACCTCATGGTGACGAGAGACTGTCAGAACATGCCTCCGCTAAAGTAGCATAGGGCAGAACGGTGATGAGCCGCATAGCGTGAAGGAGGGGAAGCATAGGCCTTGCCATGGACGCTGAGGACTACTATGGTACCGCTGCCATGATTGTCTTGACCGCAAGCAAATCAACAAGCAAGCCTGATGTGCACGTCGACGCTTCCGCAACACAGTTCCATTTCGCAAGAAATGCTGCAGCAACGATGACATGCGCATGTCAAGCTGAAGAACAAAGACTCGCAGCAGCCTTCGGATCAAAACCGACATAACCTGAGGAATCATGTGGAATCATACCAGACAAACCAGAGATTGCCACAACCCCAACTCTTTCTCTCTCTCTCTCTCTTTCTTTTTCTCTGTCTCTCTCTCTCTCTCTCTCTCTCCTCTCTCTTCTTCTCTGCAAGGAACGTAAACAACATCCCCACCCCAAACGGGCAAGAGACCGGTTGGCGTTGGCATCGCAGTCCGAGCATCGAGAAGTGGCGGGTCCGCTGAGGCAGGATCCGTGGCGGCGCGAACCAAAGGGGGTTGGGCGGGGGCTGGACCCACAAGAGTCGAGTGGGGAATCGACTACAGAATCAATGTACCCCGAAATTGATTTTTCCTCACGACAACATCGCGGTTCCGGCCGGAAAAATCCAGTCCGGGGTATAACTCAATTCTGTAGTCGATCAGGGAAACCGGAAGGTACCGACACCGCCACTCCCTGGACCTCTCCTGTGTTGCGCTCTGACCAGGATCTCGATTCGCATGCGGCGGTGGCGACGAGGGAGGCCCAAGAGGCCCAAAAATGGGAAAACGAGGAGAGGGTAGAGGTATGGGTAGCTTGAGGGCAAAAAATCCACCCCCATCATCACCACCCCGGCACGCGAGGCCGTGTACTGAAAGCCCCCACCGAAGGAATCGCACAGGGCAGGGCTGCTTCGTAGACGCCCAGGGCCGTTTGGCGAACGGCAGTTGTCCAGCCCGGGCGGTTTTTCATCCCCTGATCTCCCTCCTCGGATCGAGCCCCCCCTCTCGAGAGGGCGCGGGGCCTCCTGCGAGCCCTTCGGCCCTCTGCAGGGGCCTCCGCGGCAGCGCCTCCGAAAGAGAGGGCCCAGAGCCCCTGGCCGCACGGCGACGGGGGGGGCCTCCGCCGCGCGAGGCCCAGGGGCAGCCCCGGGGGGGGGCTCGCCGTCGTCGTCGAAGACGTCGTCGACGACGACGTCGTCGTCGTCGTGGTCCTCGCCGCCGTCGCCGCGGTCCTCGCCGTCGTCGCGTGCCGGCGCTGGGCGTCGTCGCCGCCGTGGTCCTCGTCGTCGTCGTGTGCCCGGCGCTGGGTGGGGGGCGCACCGCCCCCCCCCGGGAGGGGAGGGGAGGGGTCCCCCCCGCGACTCTGGAGGGGGGAGGGGTCCCCCCCGCGACTCTGGGAAGGGTGCGGGGAGGGGCCCCCCCCGCGACTCTGGAGGGGGGAGGGGTCCCCCCCGCGACTCTGGGGAGGGGTCCCCCCCGCGACTCTGGAGGGGGGAGGGGTTCCCTCCGGGAAGGGTGGGGGGAGGGGTCCCCCCCGCGACTCTGGAGGGGAAGGGGGCGGTCTGGGCCGCCCCCAGGCTTCCTCCCTTTTAGTACGCAGGAGGCGCTCGGTCCAGCAGGGGGGATTTTTTTTCAGCGGGCCAGAGATAGAAAGCTAGCTCCAGGTCGGGCGCATCCTCCTAGAGGCGGATCCTGGAGGAAAAGTCAAAAAGATGACCGCACAATGCGCAAGCATTGTTCAAAAATATTCGATACATCGTCCCCTGACTGTTGTCTACGATTTTCGACGAACAAATCCTCCTGTAGAGGGACACGCCCGACGTAAGACTGGCTCGACGCCCGATGCCATGGAAGACTATCAATGTCCGTCGGCACACGGAAGCACACGGACCCCAAGGCATGCAGGTGGCCATCCCCATTGCAGAGCATCTCGGCAGAAGGACCTGTTCAGATCCTCTCGCACAACACCCACATACACAGATTCTGTGCAATGCCCAACGAAGCAGACTGCCTTCTTGCACAACCGCTGCAACAAACGGACCACTAGACACAACATGCAAGATTACCGCTGTTGACAACATATTTATGACACGGCATGCGAGCTACAGGCGCAAAATAACAATAATCACATGTCAATGTTCCCATGAGCGAGTCACCGACAACCCGGCCAGGATAAGCCTGCTGCCCCCATCGCAACGTATCTGCATATTGCCTGGAGCAGGCTTGCCGAAAGCATTGACTGAGAAAGAAACAGAGACAAGTATGAACATGACCTTAAAACTCTTCGATGATATGCGATGAAGGACGCGATGCTAATCGAACATCGACATTGGCTTGATGCTACTGAAGGCTCCTTGGAACAATCCCGCCACGTGCCTCCATCAAACACTCGGGGACGAGAACTTACTAGGAAGTCTGCCACGCTCTGTGGAGATGGATAACGCTACGGGCAAATCACGCCACGAAAGCTCAATGTGCGACTCCGGGACTCCACTGGACGACGCACTGCAGCCTGGAACCACCGCCGGGCACACGGCATGTCCAGGTGACACCAGCCTGGGCACGCAGATACGTTAAGCCCTTAGGCGTTTGACCGAACTTCCGTAGAGGCCTCCCGAATATGAGGTACCAGAAAAATAGAACCAGACGATCGTGCTGCATCGGCAATGCATCGCCGATGTATCGACGATACATCTGGACGTCGGCGAAGTTATCGGCACCGTCGGCGTGGAGAAGATGAGGCTCCACATCGAGCCGCTTGGGGCGTCGTGGGGCATTGCGGGCTGCCCTGAAACCATATTGGGCCTTCTGGAGCGCTCTTGGACCGTCTTCGGGCCCTCTTGGACCTCTCCGACACCGTCTTGGATGCATCTCGGGACCTCTTGGGCCGACTTGGGGGCCTCTTGGGCGCTCTTGGGGTTGACTTGGGCCGTCTTGGGCCGAACATGGCCGAAACCTGCGGGTATTAGACCTGCTTGGAATGGGGACGGAAAGCGCTTTTATTTTGTGAGGGCGCGAAGTGGCTGGCTTAGTGTCTTGAAGCCCTGTTGGTGTTAAAGCTTCGGCACGACATAACAAACTCTAGCAACCAACCTTGCGGAAATCAATATAGATATTGCATTTCCGCGCCTTCCTGGGAATCCTTTCGATGCTCTTTTGGCCAGTCTTTGCGCCCTTTGGGCAGTCCAGGGACCCTCTTGGGCCGTCTTGGCGGGCTTGGGCCGTCCTGGGGCCCTCTGCGAGCCCCCTTGGGGAACTCCTGTGGCCCTCTTGGAGCTCTCTTGGGAACCTTTGGGGGCCCTCAGGGGCCTCGTCTTGGGGCCCTCTTGGGCCATCTTGACGCCAACTTGGGCCGCCGTGCGGTCTCTTGGGGCCGTCTTGAGGCGGTCTTGAGGGCCTCCTGGGCCGTTTTGGACGCGGCGAAGACCAAAGAAGCAAATGTGCTGAACATGTACGTTATCCGCAGCCTCTTGGGGTCCCCTTTGGGGGCCTCTTGGGGCGACGTGGGGGCCTTTTGGGCTGTCTTGAAACCATACGGGGCCCTCTTCGAACGCTCTTGGGACGTGTTCGGGCCCTCTTGGACCTCTCCGACGCCGTCTTGAAGAATCTCGGGCGCGTCTGAGGTTGTCTTGGGCAGTCTTGGGGGCCTCTTCGGCGCTCTTGGGGCTGACTTAGACCGTCTAGGGCCGAAAATTGCCAAAATTGGAGATATTAGATCCGATCCCAAGTTCGCCACCCCCTCCACACCCCCCCTTGTTATTCTCCCAACTAACGGATCGCGATGCTACGCGCGCTTTCCGTCATCTGGCGCCCAAACTGCTTTCTCCCGACTAACGGATCGCGACGCTACGCGCGCTTTCCGTCATCCGCCGCCCCCTGTTGATTTATCTCAGGGGTGCCTGGCGTGCTAGATCATACGGCTTGGTTTTGGTTCTTTTCTAAAAAAACGTACCCTGGGGCTTCGGAAAGCTTCAGGCGAGGTGGTCGCAAAGGCTGTTGCTGCTCAAGATGGCTCCAAGACGGCCCAAGATGGCCTCCAAGACAGCCAAGATGGCCTCCAAGTTCGCCCAAGATGGTCCAAGATGGCCTCCAAGACTGCCCAAGGGGGTCCAAGATGCTTCCAAGATCGCTCAAGAAGCCTCCAAGATAGCCCAAGACGGCCCCAGAGGCCCCCAAGAGGCCTTCAAGAGGTCCTCGACGAGGACCCGAAGAAGCCGAAATCGTTGATGTTCTTGCTGTGCTTGAATGATGTTGGCATTCCCTTCTTGTCGGCCTTCCCACGGCCCAAGAGGCCGGCCCCCAAGATCTCCCCAGGGTGGCCCAGCAGGCCTCCAAGGTGACCCCACGCCACGACGGCATAAGAAGCCTCCAAGACGACCCTGAGAGGGCCTCAAGACGGCCCCAAGAGGCCTCCAAGACGCCCAAGATGCCCTCCAAGACGGCCCTGAAGCGCACCAAAAGCCCCAAGTCGGTTCAGAGACGCATCCAAGACGGCTTCCGACGGCATCAGACGGGCCAAGAACGCCCGAGGATGGCCAAAGCGGCCCCGGATCCACAGCCTCCCAAATAAGGCCTGAGGATGCCCCCAAGAGGCCTCCAAGAGGCCCCCGGGAAGCTCCCAGCAGACCACAAGAGCGCCTCTAAGGAGCTTCCATATACACTGACACATTTCCCGACCCTGCGCTGAAATTCGCACAGGAACGCGGATTCTGGTGTATACGGGATCCTGGTGTGTACATGTTTCATTGTTTTCCCGGGACATCGGGGAAAACAGTATACACCACACCACCCCAGCGTCGCCACCGACCCTCAAGAAGTACTGGGATTCAAGAAGCAGCCCGCCACTGGTAATGTATACGTTCCAGTTTCCGGAAAAAAAAAAAAAAAAAAAAAAAAAAAAAACATCTTTTTTCTTCCTCCTCCTCCTCCTCTCCTCCTCCTCCTCCTCCTCCTCCTCCTCCCTCCTCCCTCCTCCTCCCTCCTCCTCTCCTCCTCCTCCTCCCTCCCTCCTCCTCCTCCTCCTCCTCCTCCTCCTCCCTCCTCCTCCTCCTCCTCCTCCTCCTCCTCCTCCTCCTCCTCCTCCTCCTCCTCGACCAGTCCTCTTCCCTTTTCCGTCCTTCTCCTCATTATCCTCTCCCTCACGTGTTCCCCGGAAGGTTTCAACGACAGCTGGGGGAACACATGGGGCGACAGCTCCAGCCCAAGTTTCGGCCACATAGCTAGGCGCTTCCAAAAAGGCAGGGGGCGGCGGTGATTGCCGCAGGCGTCTTGGATCTGTAGTTGGTGCCCTCCGACCTGCCCGAAGACCCGGGAGCACGGCCGTAGGAATATGTCGAAAGGTTGGTGCCTCGGATTCTTACGTTGCCCGTTTCCCAGGGGTTCCTCGGATTCCTCGGGTTCCTCGGGTTCCCTGCCCTCGGTGCTTCCTATTGTTACGCGGGTTCTCCGGGTTCCTCGGATTCCCCGCCCCTGGTGCCTCGTATTCTTAGCAATTCCGAACACTGCCAAGCAATGCCATGCAATGCCAAGCAATACCAATCACTGCGCCCATGCAATAGGAAGCTCTCCCCTAATTGGGGTCGCGCCGGGTTGATTCCTTCGCAGGGTGATCCGCGATGCTTCTCGAGGGTGAAAAATACACACGTCCGAGCGATGCCAAAACGAAGGTCTCAGAGGTCCCTAAAGTCTCCAAGTATGCCCCTGAAGGGCGCCGCAGGCCATGAAGCGTCCCGAGGCCCCCCGGGGCCACCAGACGACCCCCACAAACGTCACAAAGTCCAGGATCATTCAAGGTCACGCCCCGCGATGCGCGGCGCGCGGTCATTCTTGCGCCCTCGCGCCGCCGCACTGGAGAAGGGTAGCTCTCCAGCCCGGGCGCGCAAAACTTGGTTCTCTTCTTGCCCCCGCGGGTGACCTCGAACCTCTAACCCCGACCCTCCTCGCCGTCGTTCTCCTCCTCCTCCTCCTCCTCCTCCTCCTCCTCCTCCTCCTCCTCCTCCTCCTCCTCCTCCTCCTCATCCTCGGCCCCCTCGTCCTCCGAAGGCGTGAATAGCAAAAAGGAGTCTTCCTGGCGCTTCCTGGTACTGGAAGCGCCCATGTGTCGAGGAAAACGCCCAGCGGAGGGGCTGGAGCCGGCTGTGCCCAGCCGATTTCGCACCCCTCCCAGTCCCCCCCTCGGCGGCGAGCCTGGCGGGAAGTCAGAAGGAGAAGGCCTTCTCAGAAGGCTCGGAAGCCCCCTGGCCTTCTGCGAAGTGATCTAAGACTTCCCCGAAGACACCGGATCCCTCTCAGAGGGCGAGAGGGCTCCTGAGAAGTCCCGCCGCCTTCTTAGAAGTCCTTCTCCTTCTCATCCCCCCTCTCGAACGCCGCCGACCCCCCCCCGCCCCCTTGGCGTCCGATCCGAGCAATGATTCAAGCGACCCAGGGACACACACACGCACACACACACACATACGCGCGCAACACAAATACAAACAACTCCCAGGATCCCCACATATCTCCCCAGACTCTCTGGATGCTCGTCTCCCCGGCCCCACTTCCCATACCTCCCCACGTCCTCCCGGGAACGACGATGCACTGTGTCCGTGTGTCTTTCCCCTCCTGCATGACCACTGCCGCCTGCTCCTGCCTCGGAGCTCTCTCGGCGTCCCCATGTCGTTTCTGGCCTTCGGCCTCCCCAGGAGGAGGAGGAGGAGGAGGAAGAGGAGGAGGAGGAGGAGAGGCAGGAAGAGGAGGAGGAGGAGGAGGAGGAGAGGCAGGAGGATGAGGAGGAGGAGGAGGAGGAGGAGGCAAGCTAGGTGCGCTCGCGTCATATCTGACGTCCTACCCCTCCCTCCCATCCCTTACCATGGCGCTGATTTTCTCTATCCGCGGACGCGTGTCGTAGCGGACCTGTGGCTCCGCGCGCGCGTGCGTAGTGGGTGGTGGTGCGCGTGCGTGCGTGCGTGCGTGTGTGCGTGGTTGTGGTGGTGTGGTGGTGGTGGTGGTGGTGGTGGTGGTGGTGGTGGTGGTGGTGGTGGTGGTGGTGGTGGTGGTGGTGGTGGTGGTGGTGGTGGTGGTGGTGGTGGTGGTGGTGGTGGTGGTGGTGGTGGTGGTGGTGGTGGTGGTGGTGGTGGTGGTGGTGGTGGTGCGGCGCGGTGGTGGCGGGCGGATGGGCGCGCGAGAAAGAGGCCCGCGCTGGGGCGAGAACGCCATCCTGAACGACGGAGGCCAAACACCGATCCGAAAATGAGGCCCACGCTGCAGCGGGAGCACGATTCGGAACGATTCGGGAGCAGAAATGAGGCCGGCGCCTCAGCGAGAGCAGCATTTTGAGAAAAAAAAAAAAAAAAAAAAAAAAAAAAAAAAAAAAAAAAAAAAAAAAAAAAAAAAAAAAAAAAAAAAAAAAAAAAAAAAAAAAAAAAAAAAACGCAGGCGAAAACCCGTTTCCCGGGAATCCTGTGTAAAAAACAGTACGCGGGGGGGGGGGGGCGGATATCTTCGGGACGCCATCAGGGGAAGTGGGAGAGTATTTTCATATTGTGTAATTGTAGAGGCATGAGGGGGAGGAGGAGACGCAGGAGGAAGAAGAGGAGGAGGCATGACCACTGCCGCCTGTGGCTCGGTGCCGGTCATGCGCTCGGGCCTCGGGCGGCCGCTCGGGGCGGCCCGCGGGCCCCCCCCCGGGGGGGGGCGCCCCCGCGGCCGACGGCCGACGCGCAGCCGCTGGGAGCAGCAGCCCGAGGCTCGGGTCGGGCGAAAGGGGGGGATAGCAAAGAGGGGGGGGTGAGAATCGGCTCACGTAGCTGATTTTCCCGGCGCCTCCCGGCGGCGGAGGCGGCTATGTATCGAGGAATGGGCCCCTCGGTGGAGCCGAAACCAGCCGCATGCAGCAAATTTCGTAATCCCCCCTTTCCCAATCCCCCCCTTTCGTCCGGCCCGAGAGAAGCAGCCCGAGGCGCTGGGAAGCCGCCGGGCCGCCGGGAGCCGACGGGGGCGCCAGGGAACCTCAGAGACCTCGAGCAGCGGCGAGCGAGGGCGGGGAGCTTTCGGGCTAGAGATTCTCGAGGTTCTCGGACGCCTTCGTCGATTCTCGGCGGTTGTGCGGCCTCGGGATGCGTTCCAGCGGCTGCGCCTCGGCGAGGGCGTTCCGGGGGCGCTGGGAGCGTCCCGAACGGCCGCCAGAGACCCAGGCATGACCAAAAAGCCGAATTCGGCGGCGCTCCCAGGCGGAAAGCGACGGGGAGAAGGCACTCTCAGAAGGCGGCGGGGCTTCTCAAGAGCCCTCGCGCCCTCTGAGAGGGTTCCTGCGTCCTCGGGGCAGGCTCGAGAAGCTCCTCGGAGGGCCGGGGGACCTCCGAGCCCTCCGAGGAGGCCCGGCCCCTCTCACTTCCCCCCCTCGCTCGCCGCCGACTCAAACCTCGTCCGACCTGAGTGTTGGAGGCCTGGAAATTGGCACCAACACCAGCACAAGAGGTTGCCTCCACATGGGGAAACTGATCCTAGATTTCGGTGTTGGTGGTAATATTTCGGTCACCTTGGAAACCAAAATATTACCACCATCACCGAGATTGGGATCGTCCTCCCTCGGTGGAGGCACACCGCCGATCTTGGTGTTGGTGTCAACCTCTAGGCCTACGAGACTGGGTCCTGACCCGCGCGCCTCTCGCCGTTCCCCATCATGATGAGCTGGGCGTGGCCCGTGACGCCGTTGCCCGTGTCCTGGCGCCGGCCGGCTCTCGGGCGGGCCCCAGCGTCGTGCCAGCCAGGCGCGCCCCGTGGCCGCCCCTGGAGGAGGGCGACGACCACCACCACGACGACGACCACGACGACGATGGCCACGGCGACGAGAAGACGACGGCCCAAGAGGCTTCCAGGATCGCCCCAAAACCCAAGAGGCTTCCGAGAGCGCTCCAAACGGTCCCAGAACTCCCCAGGACAGCCCCAGAGGCCTCCAAACTGGCCGAAGAGACCCCCAAGACGGCACCGAGAGCGGACCCAGACGAGGGACCCGAGCGGACACGTCGAGCTCTAGGCGCAGAGAGGCCCCCTGGAAGCTCGAAGAAGCCCCCGAGAGTCCCCCAAGAGGCCCCCGAGAGGTCCCAAGAGACCAACCAAGATGCCCCAAGAAACCTCCCAAGAGGCTCCACGGTAGAAGATAATTACTTCCTTTCACTTATTGATGGTGTTTGGCTCTCTCGCCCTGGGAGCTTCCCTGCGCTCCAAGATGGCCCAGTGGGCCTCCAGGATCGCCCAAACACGGCTCAAGAGGCCTCCAAGAGCGCCCACAACAGCCCCACGGGGCCCCAAGACAGCCCCAGAAGCGTCCAAGAGCGGACCCAGACGAGGGACCCGAACTGACATTTCGAGCTCCAGGCGCAGAGAGTTCCCTGGAGGCCCCAAGAGGCCACCAAACAAAAAACCCCCGAGAGGCCCCCGAGAAGCACCGAGAGACCCCCAAGAGGCCCCAAGAGACCTCCCAAGGGGTTCCGCAGAGGCAGACATGAACGATTTCCCCTTAAGGTTTGAAAGGTTTTGGCGCTCTCACCTTGGGGGGCCACTGGCGCTCCAAGACAGCCCAAGAGGCATCCAGGATCGCCCAAACACGGCCCAAGAGGCCTCCAAGAGCGCCCACAACGGCCCCACCACAGGGCCCCAAGACAGCCCCAGAAGCGTCCAAGATGGCCCAGAGCGGACATTTGGAGTTCCAGGCGCAGCGAGGCCCCCTGAAGCCCCGAGAGGCCCCCAAAAGCCCCTAAGAGGCCCAAAGAGAACCCCACGAGGCCCCCAAGAGGCCCCCGCACCGCCCCAAGAGGCGTCAGATACACCGCCAAGAGGCCCAAATGAAGCCCCGTATCGTTTCACCGACCCTTTTTTCTTTCTTCCCTCTCCTCTTTCCCCCCCGCCCGCGTCGACGAACCCCAACCCTCGAACGAATGCGCGCCGCCAAGAGGCCTCCTAGAAGACACCAGGCAACTCCCAAAGAGGCGCCTTGTCCATAACCAGCTTCGCCCCAACATGACACAAAAAGCTTTCCACGTACCTCTTCCCCATCCTCATCCCCCCACATTCCTCCCTCTCGCCCACCTCTTTCACTTTCTCGCTCGCCAAGGATACGCAAACGCATAGCACCGAGCGAAGCGACCAAATACACTGGACGCGCGCGCGCAACGTCTTGTGGAGCTGGGGCGGGCCGTCGCAGGCCGGCGCGCGTCGGAAGAGAACAGGGCGCGCACCCGACGACGGCAACCGAGGCAAACAAAAAAACAAGACTGCAAGAGTGAAGGGGCCGCAGGACACACAAATAAATACACACAAATAAAATAATTCCCCATATTTTCCCATATTTTATGGGTTTTTGTCTTCCCCCCCACTTCCCATATTTTCCCATATTTTCTGGGAATCGCAGATTAATTGTGTCTGTGTGTTTCTTTTCCTCCTGAAAGAGCGCACGAAAGAAGGGGCATGTCGACGCGCCCCAGCGGGGAGGCGGAGCTCTTCCCAGTCGACCCGAGGGCGCGAGCACGGGCGGGTCAGCGGGAGCAGCGCAAACGACGCGAACCCGACGGTTGGGCTTTTCAAGGCCCGGCTGCCCAGGGCGGGAGCCGGAGCGCCGAAAGCGCCGCCCCCCCCCCCCTCGCCCGCCCGACGCGAGGCGACATGGGGATTAGACACCGCCCCGCCCGAGATGGACCGCTCTTCACGACTAGGGGCGCGCCGGCCCCGCCAAGCGCGGGCTGCTCCTAGCGAAGAGGGCCGGGCTCTGGCCGCCTCGGGCACGTCTGTTTATGCTCCGCGGTGATTGGCGCCAGTTCGCGGGGCCGTGAACCCCGCGCAGAGGCCCCTCACATGCATCGGGAAGAATGGGGAAGCATGGGGGAGGGGCCCCCCAATAAGAGACACGCGCGCCCCTTCACCCGCCGCGGAAACAGAAAGGCAACCTGACTTCTGGACACTGCGCAAACTGGGACTGCGCAGCGGCGCTGCCCAAGCAGCGCCACTCAAAAAATGTCACTTACAAACAAGGACAACCACCGTCCACAAAACGCATCATGAGAAATGCCCGCGGCCCCTGCCCAAGATGCTCTTCGCGATAAGGGGCGCCTGCACATGGACGCACCAGAAGAATTCTCAAAAGACCACAAGAGGCCTCCCAAAGAAGCATCTTGACGACGACCCTGTTTGGCCCCAAGAGCAACACCAAGATGCCAACGAGAGGCTTCCTCCTCCACTCCTTCCTCTTCCTCCTCCTCCTCCTCCTCATCCTACTTATCTTCATCCTCCTCCTCCTTCTCATCCTCTCCTCCTCCTCCCCTCCCCTTCCCCATCCTCATCTTCCTCCTCCTCGGCGGCGCCACAATGGCCCAGGGCCCACGGCGAAGCAGTAGCGATCATGCAACATGGGCCAGCGGAATGAGCGAAGCGATTGAATAACAGGATTCCCAATATTTTCCCATATGTGTTTGGTTTTTGTCTTCCCCCCACTTCCCATATTTTCCGATATTCTCTGGGAATCAACGATGAATTGTGTCTGTGTGTGTTTTGTTCCCTCCTGACATGTGTTCTTACATGGGTTCCTTTCGCCTGGAACAACGTGTGTTCACACGATCTAGCCCTCGTCTCGGTCCGCATTTTTTCGGCTCGTCCTGTTTCAGTTCGTCGCGTCTGTGTTCGCCACGTTTCGATCCGTCCATTGTCTGTCTCGTATCGGTTCGGGTTTGCACTTTATTGGCTCGTCCAGCCTCGGACCTAACTTGGATCTTGAGCTCGAGCTGGTTGAGCGCCCCGCGCGTGTCCATTGCGTCCAGCTCTTGGCGAACTGTACATTGATGCAGCTCGAGCTGAAGATCAGGATCGGTCCGGTCAGGATTCGAATGCCAAGAGCGATTTGACCTACAACGCAGAGGAACACAGTCCAGTTCGACACAACATGACCCAACACAGTTCAGCACAACACGGATAAATCGCAATGTGCGCCAGAATCGCGGCCCTGGGGGCGCACATCCCTTGTAACTTAAGCTGAATCTTGGCCCTCGGAGTGCGGCTCCTTCGGCAGAAAAGGCCATGTGGTTTCAGGGGGGTGAGCCGACACGTATTCGACTCGTCCCAGTCTCGGTTCATGTTGTGCCTCGATTCGATCAATGTCGGTTCGTTCCTCGTCTCGGTTCAGATTTGTTCGGCTCGTCCTGTCTCGGTTCGTCGCGTCTTGTTTCGCTGCCCTTCGGTTCTTCCATCGCCTTTGTTCGGATTCGCCCCCTCCTGGTTCGTTCCGCTTCGGGACTGAATCGAATCTTGAGATCGACTTTGTTGAGCGTGGAATCAGCCCTGGGCGAGCTATGCATTCTGGTAGCTCGAGCTTCGACGTCATAACTAACAGCTTGACTCGGCATTCGATATCACGATCTAGTAGACACAATTTCCGCGCCCCACTTTCCCCGCTCCTGGGCCGATCCTGTCCTTACAGATACGGCCGGGGGGCGACTCAGCACCTGCTGCGGTCAACGCCAACACACACACACACACACACACTTGAGCAGGGACCGACGGTGCTGGCATTCCTATAGTCATACCACGAAAGGTTCCTAGAACCCAGAACGGTTCGAAAAACAAAAATGATCCTGGCGAAGGACCCAACTATATGCAATTGTGAATACCGCAATTGTGAATATCTTCTTCGGTGGCGTTCGCTATGGGGCCACGAAACGTGCGAGGGGTGTGCCGAAATGGGTGTGCGGGACGCGTGCGGGCACACCCACTGGGACCTTCGGTGGAGCTCCCTATGGGGCCACGAAACGTGTGAGGGGTGTGCCGAAATGAGTGTGCGGGACGCGTGCGGGCACACCCACTGGGGCCTTCGGTGGAGCCCCCTACGGGGCCACGAAACGTGCGAGGGGTGTGCCGAAATGGGTGTGCGGGACGCATGCGGGCACACCCACTGGGGCCTTCCGTGGAGCTCCCTATGGGAAAACGAAACGTGTGAGGGGTCACGAAACGCGTGAGGGCTGTGCCGAAATGGGTGTGCGGGACGCATGCGGGCACACCCACTGGGGCCTTCAGTGGAGCTCCCTATGGGGCCACGAAACGTGTGAAGAGCACGCCGATATGGGTGTGGGGGACGCATGCGGGCACACCCACTGGGACCTTCGGCGGAGCTCCTTATGGCCTATGGGGCCACGAAACGCGTGAGGGGTGTGCCGAAATGGGTGTGCGGGACGCATGCGGGCGGCAGCACTGGGGCCTTCGGTGGAGCTCCCTATGGGGCCACGAAACGTGTGAGGGGTGTGCCGAAATGGGTGTGCGGGACGCATGCGGGCACACCCACCGGGACCTTCGGTGGAGCTCCTTTGGGGCCACGAAACGTGTGAGGGGTGTGCCGAATTGGGTGTGCGTGACGCATGCGGGCGGCAGCACTGGGGCCTTCGGCGGAGCTCCCTATGGGGCCACGAAACGTGTGAGGGGTGTGCCGAATTGGGTGTGCGGGACGCATGCGGGCGGCAGCACTGGGGCCTTCGGTGGAGCTCCCTATGGGGCCACGAAACGTGTGAGGGGTGTGCCGAATTGGGTGTGGGTGACGCATGCGGGCGGCAGCACTGGGGCCTTCGGCGGAGCTCCCTATGGGGCCACGAAACGTGTGAGGGGTGTGCCGAATTGGGTGTGGGTGACGCATGCGGGCGGCAGCACTGGGGCCTTCGGTGGGGCTCCCTATGGGGCCACGAAACGTG